CCATTGAATTTCGCAGATAAATTTTGATAATATTCAATTTTGAAAAAGATTTCTTCGCATTCGCAAGCGTCACGGGAATCTTTAGAAACAGCAATATTGCTGGACAGATGTCTGGAGGGCTAGCTGAAAGAATGAAGTACTCGATCAAGATCAAGTTAGCCAACTTTCTGATTGAATGAATCTTCTAAACTCGATCTCTTTATACCATCTTATTAATAACATTCAATAATAATCAATTAAATGATTAACAAAATTGAAAACAATGTAAATTGTAGCACAATTAACTTAAATCATTAATATAAACGAATATTTTTATGTTTATAATAGCGACCAAATTACCTCCCCCTTCAATTAGAGATCCGATATACCTCCTCTGATTATGTTCACTAGACTTTTGAACTGAGCTTTCTTCTGTTTATTATTTGTTTTCCTTTTTCAATTTCTACTGGTTCTTCTTATGCTTTATCGTTTTCTGCTTTATCGTTCAAAACGGGGACGTTCCCGTTTTAAGGGCCACTTCAATGTCCCCATTTGAACAGGCCATGACGATCGCTAGAAAACATGGCGTCTTTTCACAACCTTGCGAGATAACGTAATAAATTAGTATATGTGAAGTGTACCTTAAAACTAGGAGAACCAATGCTTTACTCACCAAAAGAGAATGATAAAAAGTAGCTTGTTAAGATCCGATATACCAGGTCGATAAAATCGTAGCAGTTTTCAACAAAACCATTGAAACTTACGTAAAACAAACACGCCAACGCATCCACAACTCCTCTCAAACTGTTTGACAGACCCTCTAGTGTAGTAGTACCACGTTTGGCCACCATAAGCAGTCCTTATCAGTTAGAAACTGAACGTCTCCGTTTGTCCTGCCGTCCCCGTTTCGAACAACTTTTCCCTATCTTTCAAGTAGTTAAGTAGACAGCTTGTGTCAGAACCAAACTTGTCTTCTATTTCTAACACTATTTCTTTTACACATCAATGGCATGTTCTGACTATACACATCAACACAATAGTCCATTTGTAGATGACACAAACATTATTATTAAAAAAAGTACCCTACAAAAAAACACAAATGGCTCTAAAGAACCTAATAAAATGGTTCCACCAGTAATACTGTCTCCCTAAACTTCAGGAATCCACTCTCTGAAGAAAAGGCATTAGCACAATTGGTCTTAAAAACATGCCTTTATTAATAGCCCAAAAGAACATTCTTTGAATTAAATATTGAAGATGATCTAAAATGGAAGTCTCACATTACGTATCTATATAACAAACTTACTCTTAACCTGATAATAACTAATAGTTTTTCAAACACAAAGATAAACATAAATTTACTTGGGAAGCAAGAGGTACAAAATCTATCCTATATTACATAATACTCAGCTGAAACCTTTTAAATTATACCAAGAACAAGAAAGTATACAGAGAGAGTGAAATATACACAGTTCACTATTTGATAGAAAGCAAAATTAAATTAAACATACAATGCACAAAAACCGAGCAAAATAAGAATATTTCACCATCTGAACACAAGATTTACCTTCTAAAAGATGAAAACATCAGAACACTACAAGAAAGAATATGAAGAGGAAAATTACAAATGGTAGAGAAACAATCTTCATATTACAGATGATAATTAACAAAAGACAAGACAGAAACTTACCAACTTTTATAATATTCATAGATTATGAAAAGGCGTACAAGAGAGTAAACAGACAGAATCTCTGACAAATACTGAAAGAAGAGAAAATTCCAAATCAATTACTCAATGTGATCCCAAGTTTATATGAAAATTCCAACATTAAAATAATGTTAAGACAACCAGCAGCAGCCTAAGACACGGATGTGGTCTGCCGCATACTCTCTTGGAACATATGTATCAACCACCTAGTAAGAAACTAGAAGAATAAAATTAAAGAGAGTAACCAAATCAAGAAAGATAAAAAGATGGATACAAACTTATATGCTGATGATCAAACAATCAAAACAGATTCTGAAGATGATCTACAAAGAGCAGTTTTGAAACTGACAAAAGAAGCCCAGAAGTTTTCTGTGAAAATATCAGTTCAAAAAACAAAAGTTATAGCACTGCAAGTCAAAAAACAGACGAGGGCCATAATTATTATAAATGGAGAAATAGTGGAACAACACAACAAATTTTCATATCTTGTAAATATCATAAGAGTATTTAACTACACCCAGGAGGATTTAGAAAATAAATAGTATAAGTACAAAATAATTTGTGGAAGACTTAAATGACACTTTGGCAGAGACATGAATGCAAAAACAAAATAAAAATTAACAATATAATGGCTTAACTGACAGCTATGTATGGCTCTGAGATATGGATAATGAAAGAGAGACTAACAAAAAATACAAAGAGCACATATGAGATTTCTGAGACACCTTGTAGTGTTACAAGAAGGAATAGACTGAGAAACAACAAAATTAGAAAGAAACTAAAATCTAAAGACTTAGTAGAGGAAATAGAAAACTCTCAAAGAAAATGGTAAGATCATCTTGAAAGAATGAACAATAACAGATGGCCCAAACTAATATGGAAATATAAACCAGCAGGGAACAGATATGTTAGAAGACCACGAAAGAAGTGCCAACAGCAGGAACACCTGGAAGACTAAACACCAGAAATACTGCATAACTAATGGGACAGGCTGTTCAGCTTAAACACCTTCAGTTCATGATGAAGATTATGATGATGATATAACAAACTTCCCAAGGCACTTTACGCCATCTACATCCTTAAATCAAAATTAAATCTAGACACATTATCAACAATGTATTTGTTAATTCTCATCTAATACTTGGAATCATATTCTGTATGGATTCCCCAGAAAGTATTCACACTTTCATCATTCAAAATCTAATATCTTCACAAAGAAAACCCTTGTGAGAAACAAGGATTATGTTATTCTAAATGCAAAAGTTTAAAATTATGGTTCTAGAAAAAAAAAGGGATCTGTGTGTATGTAGTGAAATGTCACTCTTTAAAAAAATAACTCTTCTAGAAGGCACTACTCTGCAGAACAAACTACCATCTACCTGCAGTACTGAATTTAGGCTTTTAAATTTTTTAATTTAAATTCTATTTAAATTTTTAAATTTAAAAGCCTAAATTCAGTACTCCTAAATTAAAAGTTTTCATGTTAAACCATACATTCTGCAGTACAAAAGATTATATACATCATAAAAATACATCTACATAAATATAAACTACTAATAACTTTGTACTAAATAATCAATATTCTGATCCATGTTTGACATCTCAATCCCAAACATGATCGAGGACAGATCCAATCGAAGCTTCAAGCCCATTTAATAAATGAATTTTCTCTTTTCCGTTCTTTCTTTCTTTCTTTTATTTTAATATTACTTTTTATTTTAGCCTCTTTGCACTGCCACTTATAAAATTAATATACATTGTATTGTGCTATACCTTTTCAATTGCAAATTACATTAAAATTTTCTGAAGTGTATTTAGTGCCAAATTTGTATTTAATTCCTATTTTTGTATTGTATTTACTTTTTGAAATATCTGTATTGTGTGTTTTATGTTATGTACCTATCTTGATTTGTCATGAAGGGCTTATGCTGTATTTTTGTGACAAATATATAAGTAAAGGATGTAAAGGATGGCCATGGGCGAGTACACAATTAATGTTGTTTTTTTTGTTACAAGCTGCATCCCATGCTACCAACATAAATAATGTAACTAACACTCTCACCAACACAATGCCACTGTGGAAGACTTTTCTGATGCACTAATGTAGATTACTAAGCTTTTTGAATTAAGAAAAAATTCAAATCTTCAAGACAAATATTTAATTGAAAAAAAAAAGACTATTTATTTTCTCATGGCTACAGTAAAAAAATATTGTAAGAATATCATACAAAACACAAATTAGAAATATGAATAATTTTTTTACTACAGAGAAATAATTATGTAGAAATAACTCATAGAAATAACATAGAGTAAAACAATTAAAAGAAGTATAAAAGATTGATAACAGAAATAATATTAAGGAGTCATTCTTCATGGAAGAACTGTGGCTTTGTAGAAGACTACACCTGTAAAACAAAATCAATTTAAAGCCATAAAACCGTATGGTCAACAACAGTAAGGTCGCTTAAGTATACAGACGTTAAAAGGTGCATCCATTATCTCCTTTATTAAAGGAGTTAGTAGATGTTAAAAGAATTTAACACTAGTATTAATCTTCAGAAAAGTCCAACCTTGTTTAGATGATCACAAATAAGAGTAAGGTAAGTAACTTGATTATTCTTCAAATGAAAGTAAAACTTAATTGCATATTCTGTAACCAGTCATCTCACCTACATCAGTCCCCCAAAATTAATCTTTTCTGAATATATGTTTAATCCTGGTTCACTTTATTCAAGTTTTCAGTTCAAGTTTTAAATCTGTAAATGACATTGTTCAACTGCTTACCTGATGGATTTACTCTCACTGTAAGGGTTGCATTTGCTCTCAAAACGAATTCCTTGTCACCATATAAATCCTATAAAACAGATCTTTTTAGAAAGAAGAGAAAACAAAACTGCCCTATATACACCATAATTAAAATTCACGATTCATATGATTAGGCAAAACTATCTGTTTCTATAAGTTATTATTGTCTTAAAACTAATCATAAATAAAGAAAGTGTTTAAAGTATTTATTATTATGAATTAAGTTTTGTTACCACCTCAGAAATGTTATTCAAATTCATATTTATTTCAGCCTAACACAATGTAAAATAATTTGACCTAAAAGAGAAAGAATATTTCATTTTGCTCGTGGCAAATAATTATTCCCAGGATAGATCAAGGAAATAGTAGAACTTCATTACCTTTTTTTTTTCTTCTTCTTCATTTTTTAATACATGCAGATCTTCCATATTATCAAAAGTTAATTGTAACTAGAAATATATAATTTAGAGAGCCTACCTTAAATGTGTAGCCAGCAGGATTTGTCAGTCCTATGTCATTCAAATTCACACTATATGTGTAAGGTGCGCCATCATCTCTGTTGCTGGTAAAAGCAACTGCATAGGAGTGAGTATAACCTACTGGAGTCACAGGTCTCACCCACACTGAAATATTTCTATGCTACAAGCAAAGCATATAAATCCATTGCAATGTGAACTAGCCTTCTCTCATGCACATCAAAAGACATTAGTAAATACCTGCTGTACTCTTTTTCCAGGAATGCCCAAAACATCTTGGTTTATGGCTATAATTTCCCGGTTCAACAAAATCTCTTTAAATTCTGGACGTACAGCACGCAAGTCATTGGACATTATAAGAGGAGCAGCTAATATGGCCCAGACAGCCATCTGAGTCTTACTCTGATCTAAGCTCAGTCCATAATTCCCAATTATAAGCTGGAAAGAAATAGTTAAGGAACAGTTAAATAACTGAATGGAATAACAGAACTAAAAGAAATAAGTTGTTGACAATGGGAGTACTAGGGGCGGATTTTGATGAGCTGAAACATTTCCAAAGATGATCAATAAAATGCTTTTAAACAGTTTAGTTTTAAAATACCCTAAAAACAAAGGGCCAAAATGATGTAAACCATGTGATAAAACCACTTAAGATGAACAAATCACTCTGTTGATATGTTACGTGATGTAGCTTGCAGGATTCTGCCTCTTTATTTAATGAAACTTAGCTTGCAAATTTTGTTTTGATTGTTCTTTCCAAGAAAAACGGTTCCTTTATTATCAGAAAATCAGCCCATTCTTATGCTAATAATTTAATCTGCTTGGCATTTGATAAGATGCTTCTCAAAAAAAAGAGTTTGCCAAAATACAGCTTTTTTCTTCCCTTGCTTTCCATTACTGTGCCCTATAATAATTCATAACACACTGCAAAACACCCCTTAATAATATGTCCTATTAAAAACCCACTACCTCTTTCTTTCAGAATAATGTGAGGTAATTTACAATTACCCCAACCTCTAATAGTCTCTAACACTAAATAATTAATACATAAGAAGAGCAGGGAGGACAGTGTGGTCCCTTAAAATGATAGTGCTCTTGTAATAAAATAAATAATTTCTGAAACATATTATTCAATTCCTGATTTTCTCTCTTTTTAACTCCAAAATTTACAAAATTGTTATACATTTCAAATGTGAGTTGTCCAAGCCATCTACCATTTTGAAATGTTCAACAAAAAAATAAATTGGATTTATTAATGTATTATAAAGTTATAATTCATTACCTACAAGCTAACTGGAATTTCTTCCTCCAGTATCTTCCTTGCAAGGCATCGCTCCCAGACAGGAACAATGCCAAAAATATGAGTTGAGAAATTGTGGGTTATTAATCTTCCATCACAAGACAAACTATTAAAAATCAAGACTTGAATTGGATCTTTATTTTTTTGTAAACAAAATCAAATTCATCAACCTGGAAAATTTGGAATGAAATAATGATTATGACATATGAGAATTGTAAGACCTAAATCCTTCCAAAATCATCATCTCATTCATCATTCATCATTCATCATATTTTCTTGCATATTTATTAACAGCATTAATATTTAAAAGCATTGAGATCTTTTTTACTTGAAATTTCAGAAATGAAATACAATAAAAATACATATTTATTTTCAAAAGACTTCTCCCAATATGTTTCTAGAACATTTTAAAGAAAGTAGATCCAAATCCCATATTTATAAATGTAGTTTGCCCATCTTGTGAGCAAAAAAATTTGATCATTGTTGAGCAAATAGGTGATACAGTAACTGTAGCACTGTACCTGCAAATTTTCAAATTGCAAGACCCCAAATTTAGTCAGATTCAATTGGAGATATCCATCTTGGTTGAAACCCTTGAATGGTTTAGGGCAACTAGCTGTTGTATACAGACATAAATAAATTAACAGACAGGCCAATGTTATGAATAAGATACCCATGATTCCACCAACACCTGGATATGACTAATTGTGGAAACACAGTTAATATTCACTATTACCACATACACTTCTTAGTACATTTAGAGTTCATTATTCTAAATAAATGAACCAATTTTAGAGTAACTGTCAAAACTTTTTTGCCAATGGTATTTTTGTACATCTTGACTAGAAACTTCTTAATGTGCTTAATTTTTTGACAAGATAATTTGTGAATGGAAAAATTGCGGAATAGTGGAAAATTATTAAGGAAATGAAAACACTGCAAAAAATTTTTGCATTACCATAATCAGGATCCATTTCCCAAATGGGTTCCAGGTCCAAAGGCCCAATTGTTGTGGGGGGAAAAAACTATTTGACCCCCATTTCCTTAATCTTTCCCTTTTCTGG